TTCCGCTCCACCTATTCATAGGCTATTGCTCTTAACAACGAATGAAGGTGTTTAGGATGAGAATTTGATAGACTTGCAAGGTTTAATCATCTGATAGAGCCCTTCTACGGCCAGGTCATTAGCGTTAGATAATGCGTGTTCTGCAGGGAGTGTCTTGTCATGCTGAAAACGAGAGTTGTTTTTTTTTCCTTTTAAAGGACTTGAGAGATTATGCTCTTATATGCCATTCTGACGGCAGTGGGAAAAATCCAACTTTTTGTCGGTGGTTATGTTTTAAGGCTTCCTCGTGTGTAACGTGTCCCTTGCCACGGGTGCTCGGTCTTGTCCAAAGTGATAACGCGGAGTGACACGTGGATTCAGCCATGAGAAGGGATGGACTCATAGGAGCGGACGAAGAAAATACGTTCCTTTATAGTCTTTCACAGCAATCATAAGTTGTTTTAAAACATATGTGGATTTTGCTCACATGCTTCAGGGGAAATAGCCTCAAAGTGTGTCAGACCAGAACGTAGGTTCGGCTTGCTCTCAGCTGCGCCCCAATGTGACTGGGGTCTTTAAACCGTCACAGCATTTCTGAGCGCCCCGAGACTCAGCTCGAAGGATGCAGGGTCTCTGCTGAATGTGGCAGAGAAGATCACCTTCTTGCGCGTCAACTGCGGGAGGGCTGGTGGAAGCGGAGTGAGCCTCGGGGGGTGTCCAAGCAGTGCAGACAACCGTGTCGTAGACAATGTCCAGATACTTGAGCCCCTGGGACCCAGCGGCCAAGCCGTGGTCTGGAAGGGGGCCTGGCAGACAGCAGGCAGTGCGCAGAGATCTGTGCTTCTCCACACTTCTTCATCTCGCGGAAAAATGTCAGGCTGCCTCCTCCAGGGCCACGCGTTTATTTTAAAGAATGTCGGGAAGGAAACACGTCGCTCACCGTCTTCCTCCCTCTTCGGGCGCGTGCGTCGTGATCGCAGATCGTTCTGGCCCACGTGGCTGTGGCTTTGCCTTCGCTCTCTGTGCCGCTCTGTCAAACAGCCCTCTGTGCACATAAACAGAAAGGGGCGAAGTATTTTACTCAGCTACAGAACAGGGCGCAAAGTCAGACTCTAGAGACCTGGAATCGCATAACCGTGGCTTGTGTCCTCTGCGGTCTGTTATTTTTCCTCGCTCCAGGAGCATGGCTAGGAGGTACAGTAGAGTCCTTTGCCAGCGCTGGCGGGGAGCCCAGCCCCAGGTAGTCTGCAGTAAATGGGACTGCTGGCTGTCTCTTGTCGTTTAGGAGAATTTACCTGCGGTTTATCTTGACTGTTCTTGTTTGGAGAGGAAATTTTGAGCTGCTCTGAACACAATTGAAACCTAAAAGCAAGAAATAAAGCTGAAAAACATGTGCCTTTCGGGTATTCAAACATTTAAAAATTTAATTCCAAAGCTAATAAAACCTCCATCTGTTGGCATCGCAGACTTAACCTGCCTTCAAAACCGTTCTGAACACATTCCTACGGAAGGAGCCAGCTAGTACCTAAAACCACTTCGTGATTGACACAGCGTTTCACAGCCCCCGGAAATCCAGCCCTTTGGATGGCGAGCGAAGGGAACCTGGGCTGTAATTTTCATTCTTTTGTCCTACGAGACAGGACGGTAGCAAATGATCCTTGTATTGTGAATTCCCCATTTCAGAAAAATGATTTCCTTATCTAAATCTCTCTACTTCAAAGAGGAAAAAAAAAAACCCGCAGATATGGAAAGCCACACAAAAGAAGTGCATGGCGTCACGAATTACTGTCAGGGGAACAGTACCCACGCCAAGAAATGGAACCCGGCCACTAACTCCCAAAGCCCCCTCCACGTGCCGCATCCAATCGCAGACCCTTCTTTGCCCACAAGCACCCGCTCCTCAGGACTTCTGGGGTGATCAGTTCCTTCTGTCTAACTTTTCATAGCTCTAGCTCCCAACTGTGCGTCTTTAGATTTGAAAGTTTAACCTTACGCATTTAAAAATATGTAATATCTTTTTAAATACTTTAAAAAACTGTAGATACTTCCTCCACCCTTTTATAATTTTTCTATGGCACAATCTTTCAGCAGAACTTAAAGTATTCGAGTTAAATGCTACCAGCGACACACTCACGTTAGTTATGTTTTCTTCTGTTAGCTATCATTTTGAGGCTTTTTCCTGAAAACAAAGTGGTATCGCACCTAATTCTAATTGAAACATGGTAAAACCTAAAAATAGATATAGATTAAGGGGCGAAGAAGTCAAAAAACTTCTTTTGAATCCAGCCTAGCAATAGAAAGGAGGAAGCTGTTTTGCTAATGTTCTGAACGATACTGTTGATTTTGTGATATAGATAATCACTTCATTGCCTATGACCGTCTATGTTCTGGATGAAGAATAGAAAACAGCTTATAGCTCTGTTAAGAAAAAGCAATCCAGCAAGCAAAATCACGAGCAAGCTTAGCAGTTAAAATGCAAAGGTTCGGGTGTCCCAGGAGTCTGATCCTCGATCCCCTCGATTCTGCCGCTGTGCGATGCCAGGCAAGTCATTAGCTTTTCTCCTTCTGCTTCTTCATCCGTACGATGAATAGGATCTATTTATCAATCAAATACATTGATTTGAATCCTGACTCAGAAACCTGAGAAAATATCTCCCTGCAGCAGTCTAATGCATTGCCACAAATCCTCGACCTGTAAACACGGTACCTAGAATGTGTCCAAAGGAAGTTTTATTAAAAGAACAGAACACTTCATCACGATTTTATGCTGGTGAGGGAGATCACAGTAACCTGCCATCCCAAGGGAGATGCTTCTCTGGAGGTTAAGATCATTTAAAGCAGTGGTCTCCAACCATTTTGGCACCAGGGACAGGTGCTCCTGTGAGAATCTGATGCCTGATGATCTGAGGCGGAGCTGAGGCGGTGATGCCGGTGCTGGGGAGCGGCTGTGAATACTGATGAAGCTTCCCTGGCTTGCCCACCGCTCACCTCTTGCTGTGCGGCCCGATTCCTGACAGGCCATGGACTGGTACCGGTCTGTGGCCCAGGGATTGGGACCCCTAAATTAAAGGACCCACGTCTAGCTTTCTCTGTCTCCTGCCTTCCAGACTCCGCAAGCTCTAATGTACCATCTGAGCAGTGAGATGGTGGGAATTTGTTCCAGGTGCTTGTAGACTTCGCACAGTTCTAGCGATGAAGGCTAGTGTTGAGTTCCATCATCTTGAAGTTTAATCCTCTCTTCTCAAGCCTGGTTTCATTGTGCAAGCACAGAACTGTTGTCATTATGCCTCTCGTGGCTTCATAGGTACCCACCCTCCTTCCCTGGCCGCAAGAGAAGGGACCCCCATCGCTCCCCTCTCTAGTCCCTGAAATTTCATACTGGTCCTTCTCAAGCTCTTCCTAGCTCTGAGCATTAGATGTGGGCATCCCACCCTTAGGAGACCTCTTCTTAGTGAGGAACCGAGATCATACTCAGCTCACTCTGGAGCTAGGCGCTAACTGATGGGCAGGCGACACTCCTCTTTGCCCTCAGCATTTTGTATCGACTTCTAATAGTCTCTGTCACTTTGCTCTATCGCTTTCACACTTTTTTCCACCATGGCCACAAAAGAAAATACATTTAACATTGAAAACCAGTACACACAGACGTATATATGGTCGATACGGGTATACAGACGTGTATTTATGGTGTTTTCCATTCACTGCTGTTCCGTTCTACTTCATTTGTTTATTTATTTTTAATGCGGATCGAGGCCCATTAAATTAATTTCGTGACCTTCTAAGGAGGCTCAGGCTGCTGTTTGGACAACGCAGGGCTAATGAAAGTGCCCCACTCTCCTCCCTCATCCGTGCCCGACTGCAACCTCACTGTGGGCAGGGAGTGACGCCATCAGCTTCTCCTTTGCGTACTCAGCACCTACCTTGGCGCCTGCATGTAGCAGATGCTCAGATTAATATTCGTTGAACCGAAGAACTCGACCAAGTCTCTGTGCCCACGCATGCCTTGTGGGCGGTCGCGAGAATGAGCCGGGATCGTGCATCGAAAGCAGGGGACACGGGGCTGAGCACCAGCAGATGCTCAATGAACACACATTTCTTTCGAGTTTTCCGGATCTGGCTCTCCCTTTCATTGACTGCCCTGCAGTTTTTGTGTGTGAAAGCGAACACACATTTCTTTAGAGTTTTCTGGCTCTTCTTTTCATTGACTGCCCTGCAGTTTTTGTGTGTGAAAGTTTTGAACTTCATTAGCCTAAGGCCTCGGCCAGCTCCAGTACTTTAAGATTTTCCAAGATGCCATGGAGCCAGGGACAAATTGCCCTTTAGGGGAAGGTCATGGGGGACAGTCCCTTTTGTAATACCCCGGTGGGACTCATTTCCCCATGAAAAGTGGAGACTTGAGCTGATTATTAGAATTTCTTTACAAAAATGAAAATTACCTCCACATTTCAAGAAATTATAGACTAAGTCTAAAATCAACATGAAATTTAGTGTTTTGTGAATCCAAAGTCTTCATAAGAGCTGGTATTTCAGAAAGATCACTGGTCGGTGAACTTCCGATTCACCAGGAACTGGCTGCTAAGTTGTGGGCGGGGTGGCCTTCCCGGTCTCATATCTTCATCTGTGAACAAGAGACCCCCACCCATCTCCAAAATCCTGCGACACCAAAGGTGAACTTTGGAATCCTTTGTTTTACATTCGCTGGAATGTATCAACCAAAGCGGAGATAACATTCCAATGAAAACACGTCTCAGCTGCAGAGTTTCACTCAAATACAGTGGGCGCCTCGAACCTTTTCTCCTGCGACCATCACATAGAAACACTAAGTGACGCTTGCGCCGACCTGAAAGCCAAAACGAAGTCAGGTCATCTGTATAAATTAAGCCTCAAGAAAGAAGGTTTTGCATGGATCATAGCAGTAGTTTGTTCCGAATTGTGCTTCGTCTTGTCTACGACATGTGAGCTTTTTGTCTAATGGAGTATGAATCGGTAATTTCACAAGGCCCCTTGTTCTTTTCTTCCAGGACAGAATGATGCAGACGATCACGGAGCTTCTAAGTCTAGCAGGATTGGAAGTCTTTCCTCTTCAGCTCTCTGGATCAAGTTTAAGGTCAGTAGTGCATTCCGTTTGCTCTCAGCTGGTACCTGCATGTTTTCACAAGCTCTTCATGGGCAGGCCATCCTGAACTTGGCGAGGCGATGAGGGATGTCTCGCCCTGTAACTACCTTGGCATTACATTCAAGAATTTTTCAGATTATTTGGGAGAAGTCAAATGCTTGGTGTGGAGAGGTTGTCAGTGCTTTTTTCTGCCACCAGCTCCTTAACACAGAAGCTTTTCGTTTGCTCCTTCTGGGCACTGCCCCCTGCAGAGATTCTGATGGAAGAGAAAGTCAGATAATAAGGGGTTCAGTTTGAAAGGCTAAGCTCCCACCAAAAACATTCTAAAAGGACTCCCTTGCCTTTGTTTTTTTTCTAAACGAACATATATTCAGCTTCCCTACAAGGCAGGGGCTGTCACGTCGGTGGGGGGTTGTACAGAGAAAAAATAAATTAGTGTCAGAAACGGTCTTTTTCTAACTCTTTTGTTCCTTGTTGCTCACGTCCTGCCCATTCCATCAACCTTCTAATCAGGCTTCATGCCTTACCCTGGTTCTCCCGCCTTCTGCATAAAAAGAGGTGCATGTCCAACCATGTCACTCCCAAGGGAATACCCCCAGATGGTTCCCCTTCTCCCTCGGGATTAAACCCAGCCTCCCAGTCTGCGGCCCCTTCCTACCTCCCTCCTCAGTCTCCCCTCCGAACTTCCCTTCCTCACCCTCGGACCCATCATCTATTATGTCCCTCTGTGTCTTTGCTCTTCCTGTTCTTCATCTGGCACGATCTCCGGCCCCCTTCTTTCCCTCTCTACCGTGCAAGACTTACTCATACGCTAGTCCCTCCGAGCAGCCGTTCTGGGACCCGCTGTACCGGGCTGCAGGCCTCCCCCATGTGCCCATGGTCCCTACACATGCCTCTGTCCCTACAGTAACCACATCATGTCCGTATTGCATTTTTTACTTTTCTCTCCCTCCTGCTAGACCGGGCACTCGGCTAGGTCAGGGACGTCCTCGCACTTGGGGCGGGATAGCACAGTGGTCAAGGACGCAGACCGTCTTACTATCTGGGTCCAAATCCCGGTTCTATCACATTCGGGCTGTTACCTTGGACCCCATCTCCTCTTATCTTTCCTGCTCTATAAATCGAGGCAATAAAAGTGCGTTGATGGCAGGGGCGTGTGCGCGCTGAGTGAGGGGGCGTGTAGGGTGCCCCACTGGCATCGCCGAGCATGTGTAAGAGTTATCTGAGTGTCATTTACTTTTAGTGATCGTCACGCTAAAGATTGAGTTCAGCGGAACTACGTATTTTCCCCTCGAAGATAAGAGACATACAAATTGCAACAAAGACGTGTAGGCAGTGGATATTTTCTGGAAATTTTAAAATATTTGCTGAAGGGAGTTGCATGTAAAAGCAATATTTCATGAAATTTTATGGGTTTCTATAGTTATTCTTTATTAAATGGTAGAATTGCCAGGCCAGAAACGCTTCACCACTGTTTTTTCCAGATGCTTCTAAACTCGTAGGCCTTTGGGAGGCTTCCAAAGCTCTGGCTACTTTACAGGCTCCTTTAAGGCCTGTTTGTTCATTCTGCTATAACAAAAATGCCATACACCGAGTGGCTTATAAACAGCAGGCATTATTTCTCTCAGTTCTAGAGACTGAGAAGTCCAAGATCATGGCCCCGCAGATTCGGTGTCTGGTGAGAACCACTTCCTCGCAGATGGCACCTTCCTGCGGTGTCTTCGCACGGTGGGAGGGGCAAGAGCAGGCTCTGGAACGCCCCCGGCACCTCGGGGGTTAAGACTTCGACATGAGAATTTGGGGGGAGAGGACATGGACATTCAGACTATAGCGCCTCCCATTCCTGTACCTCTACAGTACCCAAGCCATGCGAAGCATGGGGACGGGGGGTCCCTGTGACGTTCTCCACAGTGTGAAGGGTGTGCTAGGGTGGGAGCCTCTGAGAGTGAATGTCCCCTAAGTCGGGAGATGTCAGCATCTGTGCTCCTCGGCCCACTCACCAGTATTCCCAGCAGAAGTGCTCAGATTCCACTGGACTCAGCTGTGACAACCCACAGTCGCCGTCCGCTTGTGAGGAACACAGTGCCGCTGTCCATCCCTTTGACCTGGCCTTTGTGCACGCTGCCCTGGGAGCCTGCAGGCCATCTGCTCTCTGTACACAGTCCCCGCGGGCAGCATGAGCAGCTTTCTCAGGCCTGGGGCCGTCCTGGAGCTACGGCCTTGACACCTGCATCAGCACTCGGAGCTCGAGAAACGCACCGTGCCCGGGGCCTGGTGCCCCGCTGCCTGTCCACGTGCTCCGCAGCAGCAGGCGCTGCCACGCTCGGCCTCTTCCTCTGCGCACAGGCGGGCTTTGGCCGTAGAAGCACCGTGTACCCAGAAGTCTGGGCCATTCAGATGTGTAATGGGTGGACCTGTCTCTCCCGGAGAAGCGAGTTGGGATGCCCGTTGCACGTCTGGAAGTTCGATGAACATGCTCAGGATTAAGGATCGTTACAACCTTCCGTAATCCGCTCCCCCCAGAGGCTCCCCAGCGGCCTCCACAGCGCAGCCCATGGCCTCTGCTGCGAGGTCTTCATGTGTTCTCTCTTCCTGACCTGCCTTCTGGGCCCGGCGTCTGCCCTCTGCTGCCACCACCCTGCCCGAGCGTCATCTCGCGGTCGGCGAATGGCTGCCTTTAACAAAGCTGCCCTCTCTTTCCTCAGGCCTCATTCTCCTCTTCACTTGTCCCAACGCTGTCGCTGCTGCCCTGTTCCCACGAGAAAGTCCCCCCATCCCCCCCAACCGCTTACCTGGCAGAGCCTCGCCTGGTTCCCTCGGGCCCTGGGCAGCCCCTTCTGCGTGTCCTTCGCTGGACCCTCTGCCCCCAACTCCAACGGGCAGATTCGGGGGAGTGCCTGGTACCTCCCCCTTGTTCTTCCCGTGATACAGTTTTTCTTTTCGGGAGAAGTCACTGTGAGAGTCACTTCTGGGTTTTAATCTCCAGCCCTGACTCCCATTCTGAGTCACGGTTGCCACCTGGACATTTGGCTTGGGGATCTCTTCAATTTACTGTGACCAACAGTGACTTTATTTCCCCCACATCCTCATAACTGTCTGTTAAGAGGGCGTCTCTGTCACTCATCTGATCTTGTAAACTAGAGCCAACCTGGACACTTTCATGTCCTCCATCCTCTTGACAGGGTCACCTAGCTCTGCTTGTCTTTTGGGATGGTTTAGATTTGCTAGTCCCTCTGCTCATTGCCACACACAACAGCTTCTTGTCTGGACGCCCACTCTGGTGGGTATAATTTCCCTGTCACCTCTGCTCAGAAACTAAGTGGCTCCTTCTGGCCAATGATGGATCAGATTCTTCTGACCAGATGCTCACTCCAACCTGCCCGTGTCTAACGTATTTCCCACCCTCATCAGATGTGTATGGAGCACCCACTCTCTTCAAGGCACTGGCCGGGGTTCTAGGGGAATCAAGGGTGGAGGAGATGGGCCCCCTCCTTCAAGACCTTCGGTGAGGTGGAAGGTGGGAGGTAAAGCATAGCCAGGCACAGAAACTCTAATTATGACATAGGTGTCATTGGCCAAGGCCGAGCGAGGTCTGTGAGGACCCAGAGGAGAGAGCCATCAGTACAGACACGTCCTACGCTGTAGCTTCGTCACTTTCTGTCAACTGGGAAACATTGTGTTTCTTGAGCCATTAAGTTACTAACGGCTCCAAACGATTCTTCAGAGTCATTTTTTGAGTAGGAAAAATATAACTACTTTTCCCCCAAACAAGTTTATTTTTGAGGTAGGTTGAGAAAGGTGTGCCTCCCCCCCCCACCCCCACTAATTTGGATGGGGAGGCAACACTTTAACATTTCTTGTTATTGGTAAATAATTCATTGAATTCTTATGTGAACATTAAAATTCAATACCTGGTGAAATGAAAATGGTCTTCTTGGGTGGTCCCGTGTCAAATGCGTAAAAAAAAAGGACTGGTTTCAGGTGAGCTGAGATTCAGAGTTTATCACTGTGTGAAGTCCTCTCCTTTCAAGAGCTCCCCTCAGCTGCTTCCTACGTGACCCTCTGCAGATAAATTTGGAGTGAAAACCTCTGAGAACTGGGGTTCCCACAGGAAGATCTCACATCAGGAGAATTCTCTTTCTGTGGAATTTCACAGCCTGCACCCATGGTCTGGCATTCACGAGAGTCTGTTGTGTTTGGACCAGAAGAAAAATTCTCTGCGAACTTGAAACTTTCATTTTGGCTGGTTTCTCCTCTTTTCCTTCCTCATTGTATTAATGGCTGCCCAGGGATCCAAGATAAACCGTCTTCCCATGCCTGCTGAGAGACATTTGATGTTTTATTGCCAAGTTATCAGGACCAGCCTCCTAATTTGCACTGTAAAATTCTTGAGAGTAAACTTACGAGCATATATTTTCATGTGTGTCAAACTCACCCTGGGGCAGACACTCCTTTTGTTACCTCTTTGAACTCTGGGTGAGATTTCAGGGGCGTGCACTCCTACCTTTGTTTTGGGTACACGCCCTACTCCAGCCCTTCTTGTACTTTTCCCCTTACCTGAATATCTGAGCCAAGGGAGATATAAGCAAGCAAGTGCCAGCTCCTTCCTGCCAGACAGGAAGCCCTATCTGTGTGTACACACCCCTGCACCTACCTGCAACCCTCCGCTCCCAAGCGCGCGCGCGCACACACACACACACACATGGTTTGCAGAAGGCTTTCCTCAAACACACACTGGATGTCCATGTGGAGAGACCATGCATGGGAGGAGACCGTCCAAAGGCACGCCTGGAGTAATTTCCGAATGGTCCTCTCCTTTCCTTTTGCATTTCAGCCTCCCTTCCCTCCCTTAGCCAAAACAGGTTTCCATGGAGCCCTGTTTCTCATGGTTCCTACCTTTCTTCTGTCCTTGTCTCTTCTCCCTGGCAGAGCTCCAGCATGAGGTGTCCCTCGTGCAGATGCTACTGGGAGCTGTTTTTCCAGAGCCCCGT